GTCTTGAAAGTATTAACTGATGTTTGACTGATTAGTTAATAACTACATAAAATAAAAATGAAAAAAATTAGGAATATTACTATAATATGAATATGAAGATAGTATTAATTGATTTTTGATTGATTATTCTTTTTCATTTTTTTCCTAAAATAATACATTATTAATTTTTTAATAAATCTATAAAATAATAAATTTGAAAGGTCGCGAGAGCATTAATTTATAATTTTTTTATTGTAATTGAGCACATGTGAAGATTAAGTACCGCCCTTGCAAATAGATGACTAAACGAGGTAGACAATCATAAACCTCGCCCCTATAACATTAACAATAAGAACCATCTTGTCACCGCCAGGTAGCAACGTTGGAAGACCAACATCCCAACAATGCACATCAACATTTCAGTAAAGTAAGGCTCACAGGGGAACTGCTCCACATATCCTTGCGTGCGTATCTGATGAAATGTTGGCTTGAGAGGAAAATAGAATGATCAGAAGATATAAACAAAAAAATTGACCATTAACTCTTTTCTTGTTTTCAAAATCTTTTTTTTAAAAAAAAGTAAACAAAAAGAAAATACATGATTTTAGAGATATATAACACAAATCAATATTTGTTTTATTTATATTCTACCAATAAAAATACCAAATATATACAACATAACACTTTTATAGAATATATATACTTTTCACATTAGACATTCAATACCCTTAAGTTAACAAAAAGTTTTGGACTGAAGGAGGAAATTAATGAAATGACCCTTTTATTTTTATCACTATTCATTATTGTGGTAACCTTTTTTGAAATTAAATTTTACAGTTACCAAACCTGATATTTTCCCATACTTTAGTGATGGTCTTTGAAGTTTGCTCTTATTTAGAACTAGAAATTTTTTGTGTTACTATTGGTGCAATTAAGTCGCAAAGTGTTCTTTTTCCAACTTTCGTGAGAACCACGTCAAAAAAATTAACGATCAACCTTATATCACATGATATGCACGTGAATTGACCAAATGTAATCTCATGTACAAACGAAAATTTTTTACTTCAATCTTTCTAGCCACATGAGTTTCTTATCTAATGTCAATTACTTCTAAAATTCAATTTATTTAATTATTTTTCTGGTAACAATGATAAGAACAGTGAAAATTTATAATGAAATGAGATAGTTACTTATTAAAAAATAAAAACACCATTTCCGTTAAACATGTGTACTTATTAATTAATGATAAAAAATTTAATTTTTGAAAAAAAATAAAATTTCAATGAGAAAATGTAAAAAAATAAAATAAAATAAATGGTCATAATACTCCACATCAGTTATTATTTTTCTCACTTATTTTTGTCATTATACTTATCACTAACAAATACCATTTCTTTGCATATCAATGTTCTCTTCCTCTTCTTCACTGTAAGACATTTTGATTTATCCTAAATTTCACATAGTATGGTTTTTTAATTGAAGAAAAAATCTTTAAAATATTTCTTAATAATTCGGAAAACACAATGAACATGAGAATGTAATTTTAAAATTTTTTTCTTCCATTCGAAAAAATATAGAAAGTGAAACTTAATTAGAACAAATCAATTAGAACACAATGAACATGAGAATGTAATTTTAAAATTTTTTTCTTCCATTCGAAAAAACATAAAAGGTGAAACTTAATTAAAACAAATCAAAATATCTTATAATAAGGAGCGGATGGAGTAATTAGGTTCAAATTTTAAATAGCCGGCGCTGGTAGCTCATCTACCTCCCAAATCAACTTCGGTTAATTAACGAAATCAAACAAATTAATGGACAATCAGAAAACATCTTCGTTAAATTATGATTTTCTTCTATAACAAGCTTCTCCAAAAGTTAAGCCCTTTTGATTAGCAAAGCCACGTGCTTTTCCACGTACAACATCTACAATGCCAAGTTCTTTGAATAGCGTAGCTACCTATCCATTCCAGTTACTTGAAAGGACCAACTACAAATGTATTTGGCCTTCGTTACTCGATTACATCAAGCGCAATTCCATCCTTAACTGCACACCGTATTCCTCATCTTGTGATCGAACAGTCTCACCATGTACAATGATTAGTTCTCAAGTGATCATTCTGAATTTGACTAAACTGTATAAATGGTCCCCTACATTTGTCCGAATTTAAATTTTGGTCCCCTACATCAACATGTATATGGATTGATCCTTTACATTTCATTTTGAAACTTTTTTGGTCCCTTTTCACTGTTCCGTCACCATTTCCATCTTGATGACCGTTAACCCTACCAAGTCAGGGGTATTTTCGGAATGACACATATAAGATCAAAAGACTAAACTGTATAAATGGTTCCCTACATTTGTCCGAATTTAAATTTTGGTCCCTTACATTGACATGTATATGGATTGAGTCTTTACATTTCATTTTGAAACTAAAATATTAAAAATTATTATTTTATAATAAAAGATTAAATAATTTAAAAATAAAAATAAAAAATTAAAATGATTTCAAATTTCAAATTTCAATTTTTTTTCACTTCCCACCTTTGTGGGTCCCACATGTCAGTTAATTTCCCCCCTTGTTTTTGCTACAGTGAAAAAAAATCAAAATTAAAAAGCAAACTTACCTTCACCCGTCTTTAACCTTTACCCTTAAAAATTTTATTCTTACCAAGTCACTACTACAGAATAAAATTTTGATTCAGTGACTTGGTAAGAATAAAATTTTTACTGTAGGGTTTACCGTAACAGTGACTTGGTAAGAATAAAATTTTTAAGGGTAAAAGTAAAAGACGGGTGAAGATAAGTTTACTTTTTAAGTTTACTTGGTAAGAATAAGTTTACTTTTTACTGGCGTGTGGGACCCACAAAGATGGGAAGTGAAAAAAAAATTTGAAATTTGAAATTTAAAATCATTTTAATTTTTAATTTTTATTTTTAAATTATTTAATTTTTTATTATAAAATAATAATTTTTAATATTTTAGTTTCAAAATGAAATGTAAAGGCTCAATCCATATACGTGTTGATCTAGGGGACCAAAATTTAAATTCGGACAAATGTAGGGGGCTATTTATACAGTTTAGTCTTTTGATCTTATATGTGTCATTCCAAAAATACCCCTGATTTGGTAGGGTCAACGGTCATCAAGACGGAAATGGTGATGTAACAGTGAAAAGAGACCAAAAAAGTTTCAAAATGAAATGTAAAGGTTCAATCCATATACATGTTGATATAGAGGACTAAAATTTAAATTCGAAAAAATGTAAGGGACCATTTATACAATTTAGTCTTCTGAATTTTAATAAGAATTTCATATTTCACACAAAAAAAAAAAAAGAAAGAAGAAAGAATACATAAACTGGATCGACGAAGAATCCCAAGAGAATTTCTTAACTAATTTAACAAGTCGTTAAATGATAATCCCTCTGTTCCATAATTATTGTCCAGTTTGGATTTTCATTTTTAGTTCAATTTGTACTAGAAGTGAAAACCTAAACTGGACAATAATTTTGGGACGGAGGGAGTAATACAATTTACAGCGTAATAAATGATAATATAAAAAGCATTTACACAATTTTGATCGAATGAAATGTAATTTATAAACTTGGTTATCTGACCATGATATGATACTCCTTTTTGTGTAATATGTTGGAAGTATAACTTGTACGGAAAGATTAGTGACAGGTCATGGATTTAGATGAAATGCTAATTAAAGGAAGTTCGTTTTCATGCCCACATATAATTTGTTTAACCAAAACGGTCCAAACCAACTAATCTCTGTGTATTTTCTATGTACCTTGATCAATGAACATCATACACTTTGTCTATCCTACCAAAAAATCACCTTTCTACTTTGGGAGTTGATAACTTAAGAATAACTTTGTTATAATGACAGTACAATTGTATCAAATCTTATACTACCCTTCTGAAATTTTGTCAATCGTGTTAATTTTTCCTTAATTTAATTCACCCTTGTTACTATCTCCGTCCTAAAAAAATAGCCCACGTTAAATTTTGAGATTTGTACTAGTTTTAGTACAAATTTAAAAACTCAATATGGACTATTATTCTGAGACGGAGGGAGTAGTTTTTTCGATGAAGATAGTAATTTTATTAATAATAATGCAAACTTGCGTGCTGCTGATATGCTAGATTGTGGGCTTCTGCTTCTCTCTCAACCTTAATAAAATTACGAAAAACTAAGGTAATAAAATTAACTAGATGCTTGCCCCGGGCGAATGCCCGGGGTGTCGCCTGTATTTTTAAATTGATTAAATAAAAAATACGAATCATTCTTAAAAGAATAAAAAAACTTAGAAGAATAAAAAATCGATTGAAAGTACAGAAAGTGAGCTATTACACATAAATCTATGTCCAGATTTACAACATTTAATTTATAACAGTTAACTTATGCCCGGGTTTACATAAATCATAAACCAATATCTACAACAGAAGAATAAAAAAAATCATCCTTAAAAAATCAAATTTCTTTCATGACAGTTTATTATTTCTCTGTTGTAGAAAGAGATGGATTGATAATTGATATTAGATTTTAAGTAATTGATTTAAAGGCCCGGGTGTGAGAGAGCGGAATGGAAGAGATTTTTTGAAATTGGGGATTGGGAAGACATTACTGGTGTTTCACTTGATTTTAGGGGATTTCCTAGTATTTGATTTTATCAACTAAATATTGTTGTTTTAAAGGATTAGTATATACCTATAATTAAGATATTTTTATGTAGCTATAATTAAGGGATTTATGTATTTATCTATTCTATTTTTTTTTCTGATTAATTAGAGTGCCACGTGTCAAAAATGATTTTGTACTGAAAATGATTTTTGGCAGGAAAATTTTTATTGTGGTACTGACATATGTCCTTTTTGTTTGCTGCTCTAATTAAGTACTGTAGATTGATAAAATTTTGTTCTTAGTATAACAAAATCGTTCTCAATTTATCAACTCTCTTCTACTTTCCAGTGGCATAGAAATGGTTTAAAAATGGGCCATATATGCAGGCCTATTTTTGGTTTGTCATATCAAAAGGTTGGGAATTAATGGGCCTCAACAGATACTCTAATTTTGGTTTGGGCTTAATTTTATAACAGAATCCTTTGATCTCAACTCACTTTTCCGTTTGGAGTCACCGGCCAGAGACAAGCAGGATGCGGCGGAAGACCTTACGGCGCCAGAAAATAACCGGAAAGGAGAAGCCCTCCGGCCCCTCCGTGGAACAGAAGCGGCTAGGCGGCGCCGAAAGGTCAGCCTACTTCGCCCGGAGAGAGGCGGCTAAAGTCCTTCGCAGTGTACTTCAAGGAGACTCCCGCCGGAGAGCTGTGGCTTCCATTAAGTCATTAGTATACAGCCCTTCCGTCAGGAACAAAAAAGCCACCTATGCTCTGGTGTGCGAAACCCTCAAGCGTAAGTCGGCAAAAAAGCATGCACACTTCGATATTTGAACACATTCTTGAGCATGTGAACTGGAATTTTGGAAGAGTTTAATTTGGTGAAAAAAAAAGAAAAAACTAGTTTGGAAGTAATAACAATGGAGAATTGAGATGAATGATGTGTAAGCTTAAGTTGAAATGATTGATGCATTGAGAGTTTAATTTGAGAATCTATTTGACCTTTTTTTTTTTTTTTTTCCCTTTTCTTGTTTCTCTACTTTGAGCAGACCTTCCACTTATAAAAGATGTATTAAAACAGGCTGAAGTATTGAATAGCAAGTGGAAGGTAGCCGAAACTCCCTTACTCAAATCATACTGCTGTGATTTATGCTAACTTCACATTGTGGTATAGTTCATAATGTACTAATAGAAGTTCTTTTTTTTTTTTCTTTTTTTTTTTGTTTCTTTTCCTTTTCTTTGCAGAGGCAAGAAGAGTTAGTCTATGTAATTGTGTACGACATTCTCTTTGGTCAGGTGTGTTTTGATTTCCCTTTTTTTTTGTTATTTTAGTTGATATTTATATCTTCATGAGCACTTTTTCTGTAGGCACTGCATTGTTATCCTGCTGTTGCGTTAGTCTAGCTCTATAAATTTGTGCTATCCTTTCTTGCTGTAGGATGCTTCCTTTACTGGGGACGCTGAAAAGTTTCTCCTGCGTAGGAAAGATCACTTGCAATTGGCTCTGGCTAAGCTCTTAGCCAGTAAGAAAGTGAAGAACATCAAAGACTTGATGCCCCTTTATAATAAATTCTCTGGTTTGTGCTTCAAGAGTTCTTCTTCATGTGCTGACTTTCTCTTTGATGTACATTTTGCAAGCATTATAATGGAAGTAACACAGGCATGAGGCATGAGGCCATTAACTTAGGTCTTCTCTCCTGTTTGAAATATCAGTATGAGCTGTGATATGCTAAGATGGAAAAACATGCTTTTGTGGTTTTTCTTTCTTCTGAAATTACGTACCTACTTGTGGTTGTATCCTATTACTATCTGTTGTCTGAAGTTGGAGAATTTTGACATTTGACAACTTCCTGCTGGTATGGTATTTGTGTTAATAGTGCTCATGGTGGCTGTAGGTGTTTCCAAACCTCGTTATGTTCGTATTAATACTCTCAAAATGGGCGTGGACTCTGCTATTCTTGAGTTGAGCAAGCAATATGAGGTAAAGATCAACATGTATTGGTTACTAAGTAAATGATTACGTCTGTTTCAATTTGTAAGATACTTTAGACATGTAACGTTTGCAAACCTCTTATCAAGAGGTGCAAAAATGTTGTGATGTATAATTGCATTGTGTGGGACATTCTAATACCATGAGATAATGTATTTTAAACTTCATTTTCCTTTGAGGGACTCTAACTATGCAAATTATAAAGGGGGTAATTTTATAAGGTTGGACCATCAAAAGTTTTGGAAAGAAAGGTTAAAATACAGGTAATTTTATAATTTTATAAGGTTAAAATGTAAAATGAGTGCTCAAAATACCTGCCAAACAACATTTTCATTTCCCCTTTAGTTTTTAACTTGAAACACTTTCCACTTTTAAGTGGACAAAATGAAATGTAAGATGACGTCCAAACAAGCACAATTTTGTCATATTTCTTCCTGTTATGATCTTCTATATATTGTTTTAAAACCTTTTTTTTGATGTTCAAGGTTCTAAAGGATGATCTGGTTCCTGGTTTGTTTAAACTACCACCGGGTACTGACTTACACAAGCATCCTTTGGTGGTAAATGGAAGTATTTTTATGCAGGTGAGGAATGCTTTGAGGTGCCTGTGGTCTCATTTTATCTTATTTGAATAATGTCCATAATATTGAAGGGAGAACCTTCTGATTGGATTTTCTTGTCACTGTCATAGTAATAATTTCCTTCTGTATATTTATTTGTAGGGCAGAGCTAGTTCCATGGTTGCAGCAGCACTTGACCCGAACCCAGGATGGTGGGTGAGTTTATTCAGAGCTAAATTCTCACTTTCTCAAGAGACAGTATTGTTTACTTTTTCCTTCATGTAGACTGGTTATTTACGCTTATTGACATCCTTTGCTTCTTATATTTGCTGAAGGTTCTTGATGCATGCTCTGCACCTGGAAACAAGACCGTCCACTTAGCTGCCCTTATGAAGGGAAAGGGCAAAATTATTGCCTGTGAACTGAATGAGGAACGGGCCAACCGTTTAGCACACACCGTCAAACTAGCTGGCGCAACTAGTATCCTAATTTTTACTGCTATCATGCATGCTGTCTCTAATTTTTGCAAGCGAAAAACAATCATGGCATTTGTCCTCAGCATTATGTGATTTTTACTTTTCAAATGGCTTGTTTTGCCAATGTTGTGCATTATGATAAAAAATTTAGGCTGTGTTTAGTGGTTACTCGTGTGTCTGTGGTGCGCTGGCTTTTGCTGATTATGCATTTGTGGTATACATTGATGAACTTAACATTGCCCCAGATGTGGAAGTTAAACATGGGGATTTCTTAAACTTGAATCCTGAAGATCCTAGTTACTTGAAGGTAATTTCTGTCTTTCTGAAATCCTGTTATTTAGAGCTCTTTAACTCATCAGTTTGACCTATAGTCCTCGGAGAAAAGAAACTTTATGGGGATCCAGGTCTGATGAAAGAGCCTGTTGATACTATGTTGTTTATGTAACAACTGTGCTGTAGTTTCTTTGGATCTTTTTTGTCCTGACTTCAAGACGGATAGGAATAGTTTACTAGACATCTGCTGGCAGTCAATCTTGGGAATAAGACAATAATAATGTTGAATCTATTGATTTTTTATTTTTTTTCACAAATCTATGCTACTACCAGTGCTTCTCATGTTTACGGAACAACTGCTTCTCTTTCCAATTTTGTCCAGTCAGGTTGTTTGAAAACAAACTTCTTGTTTGTTTACAAATATGTATTTAGCTTGTCTTTGATATCATATGTATTCAAAACCCCCTCATTTGTTGAGAGATTTCGGCCGTTCTTTTATTTGGCTCAGGAACCAAGTGCATACTATTTTAGTCTAGTCTTATTTATCTGTTGCTTTTAGTGTTTGGGATTTTTATAGTAGTGTTGCCTGTCTCTTTTTACAGATTCGTGCGATACTATTAGATCCCTCGTGTTCAGGATCTGGAACGACCATTGACAGATTAGATCATCTACTTCCATCATATACTGCAGGTTAACTCTTGGCTTTGAAATGTTTGTACCATTACTTGGCTACTTCTGTCCAGCAATTTACCTTTATATTGCTCTTTGAGATTTGCTTAGTAGTTTTTAACACTGATCTTATCAGCTCATGCATTCAAATGTGCAGTTTAGTTATAAGATGCTGTAATAAATTCGACTTTTGTGGAACGTGCGCATTTTAGTCATTAGGTGTTGTAATGAAGGCGTTTGATGGAACGTGAGACATAATATAGATATGAATTGAACATTTCTTGTGAATAGAATAATGGATGTCCATAGTTATAGCAAGAGCTTATAGGAGTGTGACATAAGTAATTTCCTATTGCCGGGCCGTGGTTCAATAATCATCATGTGGCTACTGTCATGCTTCTGCTTTGTGCTTATTGTCTGTCTTGAGAAATTTGCTTTGCTGGCTAGTACTAGCATTCTGCAATATCTCCTTACTCTTGCTTATTTATCACAAGATATGGAGGATAATGCCAACAGTGATAGGCTTAGGAAGCTCGCTGCATTTCAAAAGAAGGCTCTGGAGCATGCATTTTCCTGTAAGTCTTTTAGCGCAGAAAATGTGCTAAGCACCATTCTCATATTAGATCTTCAAGAATGAATTTACTCAACGATTCTGTCATTGTTTCTTTCACACTTTGGTGGAAATTGCTTAGCACATGTAAACATGGTATATCATAGTTAAGTAGTATATGAGAATAGTATGTAGTACATGCCGAAGTAACAGTAGTTTCTGCTTTTTTGAAGTTCCTGCTGTGGAGAGAATTGTTTACAGCACCTGCTCCATCCACCAAATTGAAAACGAAGATGTTGTCAAGTCCGTCTTGCCTCTCGCTGCATCTTCTGGTTTTCAACTTGCAACAGCTTATCCCCAGTGGAGTCGGCGTGGTCTTCCAGTTGTTGATGGATGTAAGTGTTCTAATGAGTAACTTTTAAGATTGAAAATTTCTTAAGAAGAAACTATATTTGACCTGCTGTACTAATTGTCAAATTTTGATATTCCTTTTAACGTACAAGTTTAACCAAGTCCTGAAATCATATCTTCCCTCTCATCTCTCCAGGGGAACATCTGCTGCGGACAGATGTTGATGAAGATGGGGAGGGTTTTTTCATTGCATTGTTTGTCAGAAAAGTAGATTACAACTCTGGAAGTTCAGAGACTGCTGAAACAGCTTCAAAAGAGCATCAAGGGAAGAGATCTTCGAGTGAACTTCGAGGCTCTTACTTTAACAAAACATTCAGAAAACTGTTTTATTCCTCACTTAAACAGAATAGAAAGAGTTTCGAGAGACGAGAATAGATTCCGAATTATCCATTAGATTTGAGATTTTGTTCTCCGGGAGTATCCGAGAAAAAGTAGCTGATTATGATGCTGCTAGGCTATCGTCTGTTAGAAATCCAATCAAAACGAAAAAAGATTCTGGGTACAGTCCTCTGAGACATGTTGGATACGAATCACTTGATGAGATTTCCTCGCTTGTTATTTCTTACAGTACGTTCTGCTTAAATTCATGACTATCAAGCTATGAAGTAAATTGGAATATCAAATTTCTATTTTACTTTGGTTTCTTTTTTCCCTTTTGTTTTGTACTGTATTTTATTAGTAGAATATCAATGTATTCTTGCCATATTTTTGGTACAAAAGAATATCAATACGGATTACCAGCAAATGCAATAAGAAAATCAACGCCATACTTTAGATGAAAAAGATGCAAAAATTACCATATAAGAACAGTGCTAACTCCCAAGCCGCCACTACTCTTTCTTAACATTACATAGCATCTACTAATCAAAAACCCAAACCCCAAAAAACAAAGCTCAATTATGCAAAAACAGAGTACTAGTAATTTAAGCAACCTTGACCTCAATGGTCTTAGGCTTCCTGGGTTGAGGAGGAGGCAATTTCTGAACTGTGACCGTCAAGACTCCATCTTGACAAACAGCGCTGATTGCATCGGTGTCGGCATTATCCGGCAGCACAAACCTCCTCATGAACTTGCCGACTCGTCTCTCCATCCTCACATACTTTGCCGCTTCTTTCGCCTCGTCCCTTCTCCTCTCACCGCTGATCACCAACACATTGTCGTCCTCCACCTGAACTTTAATCTCGCCGGATTTCAGCCCCGGCATGTCCACGACGAAGACGTAGGAATTGGTGTACTCCTTCACGTCCGCCGGCGTGGCCGCCATTGCTTTGGCGTCCCGGGCGTAGCTCTTCCTCGGCGCGTTGGCGGTCTTGTCGGAATCTTCGACGCCGTCCAACACATGCTGGAGCGTCTGGAACAACGGAACGTCTAAACCCATTAGCCTCGGATCCATCTTTGCTTAATTTGGAGGAAATTGAACAAAATCGAAACAGAGTAATTTGGTTGCAGAATATGGCTGTAGATAATTGCTGAAGATATCGTATGAAATCTTACTGGGGGGGGTTCTATCTATTTATAGTATTCGAGGATGATGCTGATCCAAGTGGGTAAAGGGGGAACAGGGGAAGTTTCTGGAACTGGAAAGAAGCTGAACGGTTGATTTAGGAAGTTACCAGAAAGTTCTTAATTATCTGATTTGCCCCTTCCGCAATCCAGAATTTCTTTAGAGGTCCGGGTTCAATTTGGTCTCCGTTTTTCTCAGTTGTGGACTTTTGTTTGTTTTTTTTTTTTTTTGGCAAACATTCTGAGTTTATATTTGACTTTCAGTTTTTATTTAATTTAATGTAAATTAAATTTTCTTGAAATATTAATTTGCCAATAATGTCAAGAAAGCACCAAATTTTTTCTTTCTTTCTTTCAATTTTTTTTTCAACTTTTAAAAAGGTGATAACAAATCAAATTAAAGGTTGAGCTTTTTGTTTCTAAATATTAGCTACTCCCTCCGTCCCATAATTATTGTCCAGTTTTACTAAAATGAAAGATTTTATTTTTAGTCAAACTTAATTATATTTTACTTTAAACAACCGGATATACCCCTACATAAGTAATTGTTTAACCACTAAGATTTTATAGATAATGTTTTTTACTAAGGACAAATGTGTAACTTGATCCATGAAAAGTCAAATTGGACAATAATTTTGGGACAAAATTTTTTGGGCAAAGTGGACAATAATTATGGGACAGAGGGAGTATGTCTCAAAGTTCAATATAAATTATTTTTGTTATAACAAAAAAAGTATTAGTTAGGTGTCACCGGGCTGCCGGTAGTCAATTGAAATTTTTTCATAAACAAAATGATATTTCTGGTTGTCAATTAAGGATTGAGGTCTTCCAAATAAAAGAAAAGATTTTGCAACACTCCTAATTCTCCGCAATTTGACCATAAAATAATACTTCTTGTGTCCCAAAGTTGTTGTCCAGTTTGAAATTTCACTTTTAGTACAATTTGAACTAAAAATGAAAATCTAAACTGGACAATAATTTTAGGACGGAGGGAGTATATCACAGTTGGGGCATCTTCCTTCTTGTTTTTGCTAGCTTTTAATGAATTTGTTTTTTCAAAAATGAATACTTTCTCGACATTTTGAATTCTAGATACACATTATATATACATTACCAAGTACATGAAATTGTACGGTAATAAATAATTATCATGACTCCTAAGAGATGTTATTCGCGTACCCTGCTTACATTTGAAACCATAACTCACATTAGGTTTAATTTTTTTGTCCCTCTCAAATTTAAGCACTGAGCCTTTCAAGAAAATAGATTTAAGATTATGTTGAATTAAAACTTGAGGAAATACAAACATTCTCCAACAACAATGACGATTTGATAAAAACGTGTATTATCTAGAAAAATCGTAAAGTTGGGGTTAAAACAAGCAAAATTTCCAATATATCAGCACGTGAACAATATTTCTTTTGTTAGCAAATCAATGTATCATTTAAAAAATTATTATTATTTTGGACTCTACTTCAAGCTTCAATATAACATCGTTATAGCATAAATCGTTAATGGAAACATCTTACATTGAGAACTTTAGTTGGCGATCTATTATCATGGATCCATCCTTTACAATTCCCGGTCGTCGGAATTCTTAAAGTCTTTGGCGTTTTTTTTTTTTTTTTTTTTTTTAAGTATACATTTCAGTTGCCGACGTGCCGTGGGCACGTTGTCCAGGTGCACTTGAAAATAACTAGATATAATAATTCATTGTAATTTAGAGTTTTGAACGCCCATTTGAATTCCTTAATTTTGTTGTTACATTCCGATTCTTTATCAAAAACTAAGATGTTCGCTTAGACATAATTGCGGTTGGGTGCTCATTTTAATTTAAGTGAAAGTTCTAGTGATGGCGACTTTGCAAGTAGAAGATATATATAGCTAGGGATTTGTGGGTTTCAAGCCAAAATTCTTGTTGGATAAATTGTAAAAGGAAAATAATAAGTATAGTGAAATATCATAGTAATTTGATGTAGTGAATGATGTGTTAATGTGTAATTAGTAGTTCATGTGATGATAATAATTATCTCTAAAAAACTAACTAATAAGTGTTTTACACATTAGTCACTATCTCATAAAAATTTAGGACATAAAAAACGAATATACATGAACAATGAAAATTACAACAGGAAAAAAAAATGGATTTCATTTGAAAATGGATAGTTCCTATAGAATTGAACTTTTGATTAGTACTGGGGATCCTATGGTTTTCTCTTGATGCGAATGAAATTCATTGCGGGAGACCAACATTCGAATGGTATGACACTAGAACTATGTTTTTATTTTATTTTGAGAAAAGACCCACAATTGGAGCAGATTTACTTCTTCTCAATTTACGCATTGTTAAGTATCAATATCAAACAAAAGGGAAAATTTACATTAGGGGTACTGGAAGTTGCATAATTATTAAAGAGAGTATAGAGTATTACTTTTGCATAATTTGTAGGAATGCCATAATAATCTCACCTTCCAAATATAACTTTAATATTTTAGTTTTCTACGGTTGAAACCTCAAGAATATGTATACCTGAAAGTCTTCCAAGTTCAAGCAGCAAGACTTTTTAACTCAAATATATAAGGACCTGTGTATATGCATTAAAAAAAAGAGGAAAACAATTAAAACTTGCATTCATATTACACACAACATTTACGATTTTCCAACCTAAGCCAGACACATGCAAGAACGATACATTCTTATTGCTAAAAAGATGTTTATTTAGACCCTAGTAACCATGGTTCAGTCTCGAACTATATTTTAATAATTACCGTCCCAAAATTATTATTCAATTTAATTTTCAGTTTTAGTTTAATTTGTACTAAAAATGAAATTTCAAACTGAACAATAATTTAGGAACGATGGAGGGAGTAATAAATTATATGCACCTCACAAGTCTAGGGCCGGTAAAATGCTATGTTTTCAAAACCAGACCGGAAGGTGAACCGTTAGCGTGACCGGGTTAGCGAGTTTATCGGGTTAACGGGTTAGTTCGTTCCTCGAAACTAGTAAAAATTGGTTAAAATAATATTAAAAAAATTTAAAAATTATTTTTTAAAGAAATATATGCAAAAACCGGTTCAACCGGTATCGGTTTCCGGTCAAACTGCGATTTTGTCCGGATTTGACCGAGTTTGACCGGGTTATACAGAATCCGATTTTTTATAGAAACTGGACCGGTGAGGCTTCCGGTTCCCGGGCTAACTAATTAAACCGTCCAGGCTGGTTCGGTTTTGAAAACACAATTGTTTCAAGACCAAACATTACCTTCTGCATGTTGACCTACTTTGACTCTCAGTCACGCACGTCCGCCACCGCCAGGGTGGATCTCATGGCCTGCTGACCCGGCTCGTCGGTTTCGGTGTCAATAAGTCCAACATAAATCCTCGTACTAGTAGGAAATACTAACTTCCATATGTTATAAATATTTAATCTGGATGTACACAAGTTAGAAAAGTTATACAAGAAATCAACTATTTAGAGATAATATTTAGTTAGCTAGATCTTATCATTATTTGATGTTATCCTTGTATCTATTTTATCTATAAAAGGAGATCATTCTCTACAGAAGAAGACATATATGAATTCTCTCTTCTCTCTCTTATTCTCGTCCTACTTGTTCTTTCTCTACAGTTCCATAGCTCTTATTGTTTTGGTTTATTTTATAACATGTTATAAGCACGACTCTCTATCCAACTGAGAAGATCTTAATTTGTAGATCAAGATGTATGGTAAGTTAATTTTGATCCAATTCGGAAGATTTTAATCCGTAGATCTGAGAGTACGGTAAGTTGATTTTGAACCATAGAGCAAGAAGTGCGGTAAGATTTTTCTTATCTTATCTTTCTATAGGAAAATCTTACAATACGGGAATTATTCTTTATGTGTAATACAAATTTACTTCTACTATATTAATTTTTAGATACAATTAAGTGCTCATGTAGTAGCCTTAACTGTTATGAATTTTTCGTGTATTGAATTTGCTTAAATTAGTAGCAATTTCATGAAAAGATTCAAAGAGATTTTCTTCACTTCCCGAAGTAAGTGAATTCGAATATGTTAGAATATTATACCCATATAGATTAGCCACCTGAAGTGGCAAATATGAATAAAGATAGACAATATAAAATTTATATCGATATGACAAACAAAAAAAACCAAGAAAGAATTGCGCTTGGAGTAGCAGTTCATTATATCTTTATTAAACACATCATTATGATTGTGTTTAAAGAAATCACAATACTCTCTGATTTAAGAATTTTCACTTCTTGAAGCAAGTAGACAACTACATCATTTATGAGTCAAATTGTGATAAGGGATATACTATAATATGGTAGCCACGTATAAAAATAATATTTTCACCTTAAGTGAAAGATTATTAACAAGAACAATAAGAAAATTGCCCTGAAGTAGCTATATAATTCTGATTAGTATTGAACAAACTATTGAGTTTTGTTGCTAATAATATTTTACTCGTCTAAATTGGACGACTGCATTTCTTGAAATAAATGTAAGTATCATGAAATTTAATAGCGGACAAATTGAAATTCCAAATATAATTGGGATTTGATAATGATACTAAAAATATTTCTAATCACCAGAAGTGAGAAATTTTGATGAAAATAAAATAAACCACCAGAAGTTGGAAACAAAAAGAGAGTAAAAGGTAAAAGATAGCAAGTACTATTTATTTTGGTATAAAATAAAAAAAAAATCATTAATCATGTTCCTACTTTGTAGCAAGAACATATTATTACTCTCTGTCAAGAATCAGAAAGGCATTTATGTTAACCATAATGTTAACAATGTTAGTATGGATGTTTAAGATGATCACCCAGAAGGTGTGTTAGTTATATGTTCAAAATGAAAGCATCCAGTGGTAGTTTATTTTATATTTTAACTTGAGTAGTTTCTTTATTTAACGTTTTATTATTTCTTGTAATTTTATGAATTTAAGAAATTTCAATGGTTTGTTAGAAGAAATTTAATGAAATGCTCCCGTAGAGCATATGTTAATTTCTCCACAAAGTTAGACAAGAAGCCCCAGAAGAGCAGAATTTGTCATTGCAAAGTAAAATAACTTGTATGTTATCTAAACATGAGAAATATGTAATTGAATTCCTCCATAAAATTAGATGAAATCTCTCGCAGAGAATCAATTACTAAATATATCTTAACAAGATTATATATATGCTCCTGCAGAGTAAGAATATTTTGACAGAATCAAAATAACTGAATAAAAAAATACTCCTGAAGAGTATACAAGCTCCATCAGATTAAATGCTCCCGTGAAAAAGAATTAATTCGTCACAATTGAAATAAATTCATTATTATCTCCTAAAGAGAACTTGTACATTTTGCTCTAGAAGAATAAATCATATATGCTAGAGCAAGTAAAAGTTTGCAATGATGTCAAATGAATTGGAGAATAGTTTTTCAAATGTCAAAAAATGCCATCATATACTTTTACGTTAAAGAATACAATTTCCAGAAGAAACTTGTTTTAAGGTTTGTATGCTTTGTGTTAAAATATTATACATATATTACTATCATTGGGTTTTATAGTAAACCCGAAGTTTACTAAGGAACCAGAAGTTCACTTCTCGTATCAACAAATCAAACCAAAAGTTTGTGAATTATATTGACTTAGTTTTTGAGGAAACTGGTTTGCCATCCCAGTTTTATTATGATCTATAAAGGGTCAAAAAAATTTGTGACTACTATAAAGAGCCAGAAGATTCTTCTATATGATGACTTTGTATATACTTTTGTGTTTGTGTGAAGTGATTACCACACTTTACCAGAAACATTCAGGCTAAATATCTGGCACAATACAAAAAATACATAATAACGCTAGTGGATTTATTCTCCCATGTTCTAAAACTATTTAATAATTAGGTTATTAACTGGTGTGCTTACGAGATAACCACATATATGCTTATTATTAACTTGCAAACCTGAAATTTGTGAATTTCTATCATGAGAATAAAATATTAGAATAAATATGAAACGATCCTGCAAAATCGTTTGCTAAATGTGTTCAGATAATTAAAATATTTACGTAAGAGAAGCAAATACCTCATATACAATTGAAGATGTTTTAAAACACAAAAGGGAAAAATGGTATACATAAGACTAAATAGGTCTTTATAGATATTCTCTCAAACGTTGGTTTTCGGTCGAAAACCATATCTATCCATCTTCAAATTTTAGATGTGCAACTTATATTAATTGTTCCACCACAATGCACAAAAAGATGGAGCCTCGAGAAGAGGTTAAAAATATATGATGAATTTTGAAACTCCAACCTTTGGGGTAATTGATGTTGGGTTTTACTATTTGATTGACTTATTGTTTGTTTGACGAGTTAGTTACTCCAAAAGGAGATCTATTTGCTACTCGATTGACTGACAACCAGTTTGACGAATTAGTTATCCCAACATCGGGGGAAGAAGTGAAAACAACTGCTTAATAAATTAAATTGACGACATCATCATCTCATTAGATCCTCGAAAGTATGAACTTGAAGTTCAAGAGATAATATTTAAAGACCAGATATTTGTATGACCAAAATGTAAAATTATATTGCATGCAAAAGGCTGTTAATGTTTTGATGTTACATCCCTGAAGGATCATCTACCACTATTGTTTAATTTAATGTCCATTTGATAAGTGGTAGAACAGTTGATTCCAATGATAAGAATCCTCGTAAATTATAAATTTTAAATTTATTGAGATGGAAAATACGAGCGATTAAATGGCTTTCCAATACTGTGAAAATAAATTTCCAGAAGAAGAACAAGAATGTGTGAAAAATTTAGTGATTGTGAAATCTCATTACTAAAAGAAAGATGGAATCGATCGGCAATAAAATGTAGACATGAAATTTTGCTTATACTGCAGTTGTTAGTAATATGAATGAAAATAAGGATCATGAAATAAAAGTCTGTTGTGAGTGCAGACATTAAACTTATGGCCATAATAAATGAAAAGACACAATACACACACCTAAAGATGTGTAGGTACAATGAAATTGCTTGAAAAATGAGAAGTTTTGATAACTAATATACCGGCTTACTATTGTTGGATAATCGTGCAAAAGATAGAGTGCAACCTACTTGTTGCACAAGGTTTTTCAAAGTCCGGATGTTAATTATGAGGAGATATATTATCTTGTAGTGGATAAAAAGTTCTTCTGTTATTTGCTATATCTGGCAGTAAATGAAGATATAAAAATGCGTCGATTGAAAATAATGATCACTTGAAACTTGAAGTTTGATACTTAAGATTTTGATAATGACGTATATGTGAAATCCCCGAAGGATTCAATAAAGGACATTGTTCCGATTCTTGAAAAATTAATTCGAAAGACTTGCGCAAGTACGAGTGTCTTCATGTTTCTAGACAAATATATAAGTGCATATTTTTTGAATGTTTGCTTTATGCACTCGTCTTTATATTTGTTTTATGAGAATATATTATGTTTGTTTGTTTGTGATTTCTATATGTCTATATTATCATATTTATATGATATTGATATATGTTCATTATATACACTTGTGTTTAGAACACAGTTAACACTAAACTCTTGAAGAATCTGAAAGGCTGAATATTATCGAAACTTATTATAGAGTTTGAATAGTCTCAAAACCAATATAACTCCTGAAGAGTTCATCGTAGTTATTAAGACTTCAAAAGAAGTTCAAAAGGTTGCTACGTGCCTGAAGCAACGAAAATAGATTTTGAGTAGAATCTCGGTCTTAGTTTTACCTTAGTATATATACATTTAACTCCTGTTGAGAATACTTAATTAAAGTCTTGATATGCGCATAGATCCTTTATAGACCTTCGAATAATGATATAAACCGATTTAGTCCTAAAGTACTATATTATATAGTCGGTTTATTTTATCAATTACTGAAAACATTGAAATATTACAAATATTGATACATTTGAGGTACAATGGTTATGGATTTCTGTTATTCTGAATCACTCAAGATTAAACATGACATATGAAGATCATCATCTGCATGGGAAGTTGAAGTGACTGTGTAGCAAATTTATCTACTATGGATTTCAAATTGGTGAAATTAGCCAACATCTTAGCATGCGACGAGAAGATTACAAGTGATATACTCAACAGGGGTAGTAACCCCACGCTCTACTCTTTTTCCTTTGATCGAGGTTTTGTCTCAATGAGTTTTCCTGAAAAGATTTTTAACGAGGCAGCGTCATATTCGGGAATGTACTCTTTTTTCCTTTATTAGATTTTTATACCACTGGGTTTTTTCTAGTAAAGGTTTTAACAATGCATTATCCCAAGGAATGTACATCCAAGGGAGAGTGTTATAAATATTTAATGTGGATGTCCACAAGTTAGAAGAGTTATACAAAGAATCAACTATTTAAAGATAATATTTAGTTAGCTAGATCTTATCATTATTTAATGTTATCCTTGTATTTATTTTGTCTGTAAAAGGAGATCATTCTCCACAGAAGAAGACACAGATGAATTCTCTCTTCTCTCTTGTTCTCGTCCTACTTGTTCTTTCTCTACAGTTCCATATCTCTTATTGTTTTGGTTTATTTTATAACACCATATATATCCTTTTTATTTTTGTAAAAGTTTTCCGACTCATGGTTGGAAAAGAATCAATGCCCTCTCTATAAATATATGCGGAACTAGAGATGGGAAAACCACTTACAGCTTTGAAAACTTCCTAGTAAAAGTTTTCCGACTCATGGTTGGAAAAGAATCAATGCCCTCTCTATAAATACGTGCGGAACTAGAGATGGGAAAACCACTTACAGCTTTGAAAACTTTCTAGTTTTTCCTAGTTTTCCTCTTAGGGCTTCTAAGATTCAGTTTCTTAGGTCTTCATCTGAGAGGTTGTTTAGCAAGAATCAAGAATGATCCGGCGTTTAACTTTGGAGGAACGAATAATGAAACCCTGGGAACAGGAGGAGTCTAGAAACCGGTTTCTCCAGTATTACCGGTGTCAACCTTTACCGGAAAATTCTCAACTTCAACATACCAACAAGGTAAATATGCCGATGTCGGCTTTGGACCGCCTTACGTATTTTCGGACACCGTCCCCGATGATGTTTTCGGTGCACAACCCTTGGGACGAACTGTTTTACGATGTCAACGGCGGCGGACGGTGCTGCCACTCGGGCGTCCTGAATTTCGTCGCCGAAGAAGGTTTCGTCCAAATGCCACAATGGATGATGGATAAATTGGAACTAAGGGAAGGCGATCTGGTGTTCTTCCGGAGCGCGGATGACCTTCCGGGAGTGACTTACATATTAATGCAGCCGCATACGGAGGAGTTCTCCAAGCTTTCCAATCCAAAAGCCATCTTAGAGAAGAAGCTGAAGGAGTATTCATGCTTGACTGAGGGAGATACAATCAGCTTTGAATACAAAGGAAAGCTGTTCAAATTCAATATATTGGAGACTAAACCTGACATGGCAGTCAGCACCGTCGAGACGGATCCCGAGGTTGACTTCGCGATTCCTTTGAATCACAAAGGGCCCGAAAAGAAAGCAACAGGAGGAGAAGTTAACAAGAAACATAAGGAAGTTGGTGATGAAGAAGGAAAGAAAGAAAGTGAAAAGTTGGTCCCGTTTAGTGGTTGTGGGCGTCGATTGGATGGGTCGACTTTTAAGGCGACAACTCCTCCTTCTAAGGTTGTGTCGACGGAATGGGGGAGTTCAGACGTCCAGACTGGTGGCGGTGGTAGCAAGGTATCGGCAAAGCTTGTGTTTAGCTCGGAAGCGGCGGTCAAAAGTTGTTGCAAACCAGCCGGTGAGGAGGATTTATCTTCCAAGAAAATCAACGAGACCGGCGGGTTCCAACCGTTCACGGGGAAGAAACGCACATTGATGGGTTGATATAGTTCGGTTCTTTTGTTAATTTGCTTCACTTCATGTACTGCGATCTAGTAGCTAGCTTCATGAACAATAGTTACAAGTTGTTAGAGTTGATTTATAGAAATTGGATGTTTGGAGTAACATTTAAGGTATTGTAATTTTTTCTTTTTTTTTTACGTTAAAATTCTTGATCAATGTCGATTATATTATACTCACTCTAATTTAGTTACAAAGAACAAAGTATAATAAATACTAAATTTTGTTCAAACTTGTTTATCATAAATAGAAGTGAGGGACTATTATTAAAGATCGACCAAAATTCAGGACATACAAGTGTATGTGATTTCCTTCGTCTATATGTTGATTAAGGTGCTGGCAGCATTTTGTATATGTATGTTGACCTATAGAGGGATCAATGCTTCGGTTGTGTTAATCCCTATCAGAAGTCCCTTCCCCACAATTGCATCTACTTCTAATAAGGATATATAAGTAAAATAACAAATGGATAGAAATTCTTTTCTGTTGGTAAGAAGTAATATGTCTACATATTCATAAGTTTATGTTCTAAATAATATCATGTTGGAGCTAAGATTTGGGTTCAACAAGTGGTTAATCTGTGCAATGGTCTCAAAGATTTTAAATCATCTGCATTAAAAAATCTTAAACTGCTCTGTTATCTCCGCGGGAAGGCTTCGATATGCCAACAAGTTCCGAGACCCTAACTATCATGTCTAGCTTAATTAAGCCCTGAAATAAACGCCTAAACTAACGAAGACCCTAACGTAGGAGCTAACCGCCTCTCTCACGGTGTGGCAGAACTCATTCAACTTTTTTTTTCTTAATGTTAAAGACATTACTTAATTAAGCTTGTGGGACATTTACTTGCAGCCATACTTATGCATTATGTGTCTATAGAGAAGTATGCAATGGTGAGTGATGTACAGGAGAGACAACCCTCTAGTCTATCAAGTTATAATTGATCCATGAACTTGTGTCAGTATTTACAATGACTTTGGCTGTTAAATATTATAGAATTCCATATGTGGATTTTTTTCCTCCTTGACAAGTAAATCGACGTGGTACAAATTTTTTTGAAAGCTCGCGTATACTTTCATACCCCAACCAATAAACTATTCTACAGTAAACTTAATTCTCATTACGGCTTATCCATACCCCAACAAAACGTTAAAGTCTGATAAACATATAAGTCACCTTACCACACCTGATAGTAAAACCGACTAAAGCAAATTTATGCTTCAACTTTTTAGTCGACTTTCCTAATTTGATGATAGAATCGTTAAAGAAAACTTGCTTGAAAATTTACGGATCGACGTATTATTCAACTTTCCTAAATCGATGAATAAACTTCCCTAACAAATATTACATTCGACCAATTCGTTACTATTTTATTTGATGATTACTAGAAAGCATTTGCGCCGACATCGTAGTCGATTTCTTTAACGCAACAACGAATCAAATTCTCAACATTCACGTTTACTTTGTTGTCGAACAATTAAACAAATTCTCTAAGGACATTCACGTCTACTTTGTTGTGGACTTTGATGATATCATCGACGAAAACAAAATATCTATTTCAACTTTTGCATCCACTTTCGAAATTGGACGATATTGTCGACTAGAGAAATTAAAACATTGTCGTCAACTTTTTCGTCAATTTTATTAATCCAGCATATAAATCGGCAAAATCAAAATTATATTGTAAATATTTTGTGTCAACTTTAATAACCCACCCAATGATAACGTTGACAGAAGCAAAATTTTTCTAAACATTTGTATTGACTTCACAAACCCAACAAATAGTCTAACTGGTGCAAAATTGTCATCTAATTATTCCTAAGGCCGACTAAGATAGAATCAGAACAGAAAATTATGTAGTTAAACGTCAATGTTGACTTTATGATTGATTTTTTTCATTGATAAAAAAAAATCAAACTGATGCAACTTCTGTAATAAACTTGTATCTACTTTAATTATGTAGTAGATACACAATATATATATATATATATATATATATATATATATATATATATACCATATAAAAATAATATCCATATGGGTTAAAAAAATTGTGTATCTATTTTCAGGTCTGCGTGTGTTTTCATATCTTATCTTCCATAACGCTAAACATGCACGCTAGTGAATGAATATTTTATTAGTTTTGCAATACGGAAAACAAAGAAAAATTTACCTTCAAATTGGAAGATTGCTTGAAGACTAATTTGTCAAAACCCAACATATGTCTCTACCTTCAATCTTTTATTTTCCCTTCACAGCCATTTAAGCTTTGAGCCTTTCCTAGATTTCCTAGAGAGTAAACAGCAGGAATTTCCATTGTGTTGGCGGGGTGGGTGAAGAAATTGGCAGGAAATGATCAGTGCGGGGTTTTTTATTTATTTATTTATTTATTTTTTATTGGTTGCATAGTGCGCGAGTGAGATACAGTTAGCTTTTCCTAATCATTTCCAAAGAAAAAAAAAAGGTTTTTCCTAACAAAATTCCAGATTAATTTAACCGCAAGGATATAATTTCTTTTAACATACCAGACCCCCTATTAAAATAAAGAAATCACATTCGTTCTATGAAATTATTACAAACTCTCAGACTATCTTTCATACTTCATATTAATCACTATTATTTTTCTTGTATGCTTTAATGAGTTAATAAGTTAGATTTGTATTTTACAATAATTGCGTAGATACTAATTTTATTCTTACCGTTTAATTAGAGACGTTCCAAAACCAGCACGTTAATCGAAATAGCTAAATAATCCTTAAAACGCTAATTTGTGATATAGCTGGACTTTTTAAAGATACCCAATCTCTTAATCATCAATAAAAAGGTACAACACAGAGCGAGTTCGCCTGTTTTTAAAATTCGACAAGTGGATTATCTTCGATCAAGTTTGTTTTCTATATTTCTAAGTAAAGAACAAAATTGTATAAGATATTTTAATTTATTTTTTATCAAGTTTGTTTTCTATATTTCTAAGTAAAGAACAAAATTGTATAAAACATTTTAATTTGTTTTAAATTTCGTATTTATTTCAGGATATTTTCTTGATTGTTATGAAATATTTTAAAACATTTTTAATAATAAAAAATGCCTAACAAATGTGAACAACTCAGACAAATTAAAATACTTTATAATCAGCAAATAACTGTTCTTAATCCCCACACGTACCACCTATCTACATTATATTTCAAGGATATATATATATATATATATATATATATTTAATGTAATTCACATAATTGTGCACTCTTTTCTCGAATGAAATAAAATACCTCCGTAGAAGACCAACTTTAAGGAACTTAACCAAAAGCTTAAAATGCAGGTTTTGTACGAGAATTCAAAAGCAAGAAGAGATCAATTAACCATAGAAGCCATTACATTCTCCAAACCAAAGAGTAATGAGTAATGACAATACAGAGTAGTCAACATCTATACCGCAACCACTGCTTGCAAGCATTAACAAATTAAAGAAGCCCCTAATCCATTAGAGAACCAAAAAACAGGGGAGGAAAAAAAACAGGGCAAAACAAGACGGAAACTTATTCACTCCGGCAAGCACAATACTAACAAAGATTGGAGATGGATTCTTTAAGTCCTTCAAGCAATCTTAACCTCAATGGTCTTGGGCTTCTTGGGTTCCGGCGGAGGCAATTTCTGGACGGTAACAGTCAAGACTCCATCTTGACAAACAGCGCCGATTGCATCGGTGTTGGCGTTTTCCGGCAGCACGAATTTCCTCATGAACTTGCCGACTCGTCTCTCCATCCTCACATACTTAGCCCCTTCTTTCTCCTCGTCCCTTTTCCTCTCACCGCTGATCACCAACACATTGTCGTCCTCCACTTGAACTTTGATGTCCCCTGATTTCAGCCCCGGCATATCCACGATGAAGACGTAGGAATTGGGGTACTCCTTCACGTCCGCTGGGGTCGCCGCCATGGCCTTGGCGTCTCGGACGTAGGTCCTCGTCGGCGCGTTAGCTGCTGACTTTTCGGAATCGTCCGCCGCGTCGATCACGTGGTGGAGAGCGTGCAGAAGCGGCGAATCGAGTCCCACAAACCTCAAATCCATTTTGATGTTGATAGCTTAGAAGATAACTCTTTGAAACAGTAGGCTGGATAAGCTTTTTGTGCACTGGTATTTTCGTTGTTTGTTTCTGAAAGTGGGGAAGTAGAAGGAATTTATAGTATCGGAGGTTATAGGGACTGGAAGTTTCTGGAGAAGACGAGAGTAGAGTGTGGAGATAGTTTCTAGGAGGTGCGGTTTGCGGAAGGAAGGCTGACGATTCTTCCACACGGGTCTAGAATCTGCGACACGTGGGGCTTCTTTACTTTGGTTTTTGACGTTTGACCGTTCTGAAATGGAAACTCACAATTCCCTCCCCCCTTTTACTTTTTAATAATAATAATTCTTTAACAGCCTGGACATTTATTCATTTCATTTCATAAATACATCTCCAGAGAATTTTTCATGTCACAATCTGAATTTTAAAACAAAGAGCGTAGTACTCCCTCCGTCTCATAATTATTGTCCACTTTGCCCAAAAAATTTTGTCCCAAAATTATTGTCCAATTTGACTTTTTATGGATCAAGTTACACATTTGTCCTTAGTAAAAAACATTATCCATAAAATCTTAGTGGTTAAACAATTACTTATATAGGGGTATATCCGGTTGTTTAAGGTAAAATATAGTTAAGTTTGACCAAAAATAAAATCTTTCATTTTAATAAAACTGGACAATAATTATGGGACGGAGGGAGTACTAATTAAATTACGGATGAATTAATAATTAAAGAAAGCAATCTAATTCTAAGGGGCCCAACGTGCGCTCTGATAACTGATGAGTCGTGGGTACATTTTTTATTTTTATTTTTATTTTTTGAACTGGGAAATGAATATATATTACCGTGGAATTGATAAATTTATTAAATCTTGCACCTAAAAATTACTGTCCGAACCAATTTCAGCAAGTCTCACATTTTCATAAACACTCCTTCATTGTCCAATTATCCTTTCCATGCCCATATGCAATGCGCACAGTTAAACTATTCATTTTCGTGTACCACCCAAAAAAAAAAAATCATTTTCTTAATCTCATATTTCAACACGCATGTAATGTTCTAAGCAAGTTTCAATTCCTGAAAAAAAAAAAAAAATCCCCTAAATTCGGCGCCCCCCAACTCTAAAATCCATTTACAATTAGAAATATACTCAACACTAACCAATTCGAACGAGATCCGATGGTTGATCCACTCTGAATCTTAGTAGTAATAATTAGGCCACGACATCCCAAAAAAAATCCCAACAATTAATTTCCGAGTATTCATAGCATCCATCGATCCCCTACCTGAAAGACCAACCATTTCGTTCGGGTTTGGGTCCATATCTGTAATCAGCTTCGCGCCTTTTTCAATATCTATCACTCCCTTTCTTTCTGCTTCCTCCCTTATTAAGTGCAAGCTTTCTCAGTTGAAAACTGTTATTTTTCTGACCAGTCTAGTGACTAGTATAAAAATTGACGTGCTAAGATTAGTTGCCCTTCTGTTTTGTACTCTGTATTTTATTAGTTGATGAATATCAATCAATGTGTAGTTTCCAATTTTTTTTGGGTACGATAGAATGTCAATGCGGATCACCAACAAATGCAATAAGAAAACCAACACCATACTTTAGGTCAAAGATGCAAAAATTACCATATACTAATTAACAGTACTAACTCCCAAGCCACAACTTCTCTTTCTCTACATTACATATTTCACACAACAGGTTACAAGTACGACGTCAATTCCAACCTAAAGCCAAAACGCATGCAAGAACAATACATTCTTATTGGAGTACTAAGATGTCTAGAACACCCTAGTAATATTCATTCTTAACTCTCGGCTGCCCTGCCACCTTATTCCCGTTGACCTACTTTGACTTCAATAAGCTTAGGTGTCTTCGGCTCCGGGGGTGGAACCTTGTCGACCGTCACGGTCAACACCCCGTCCTGATAATTTGCGTTGATCTTGTTGGTATCCGCATTTTCAGGCAAGACGAACTTCTTCAGCAACTTCCCGACCCTCCTTTCCATTTTCAAGAACTTGACATCCTCCTCTTTCTCCCGCTTCCGATCACCGGAAACCACCAGAACGTTGTCTTCCTCAAGGTGGACCTTGAGTTGGTCGGGTTTCAGACCCGGCATGTCCACCACGTATTGGTACGAATTCGGGTATTCGATCACGTCCGCGGGGGTGGCTCTCATGGCTTTGGTGTCACGGATATAAGCCTTTGACGGGTGTTGCGACTGACCCGGCTTGTCGGCGTCGGTGTCCATCAAGTCCAGCATGTCTTGAATCGCTGAAATCATTGATGTATCCAAACCCATGTCCCTCAATGCCATTTCCATTTGTTCTCCTTCTTGAAAGAATAATGATAAATTGATAACTAATGCCACCTTTATTAGCTACTGAATCCTAACTCTCTACTCTTGCTCTCTTCTCTATATATAGAACTGAGTGGTGATATGGATTAAGCTTTCGGGTGCAACTATTCTGGATTAATCTGAAATGGGAGAATTAGTGAAATTAAATTAGACACGTGTCAGGATTGTTTGGAATTATAGGGAATAATAATGGAAGTTAGTTTACTTTACCAACCAAAATGACGATAATGGAGCGAAGGGATTATTTCTTAATTCATATATGGTAGACACATTATTATATGATGAGGGGAAAAAAAATGGTTGCAATAAGGATTATGGTGGAATTTTCTGGATTAGAATACATTTTGATTAGGTGAATCTGGAAGGACTATCCAGAAACCAGAAAGCGGCGTTCTCATGTTTATCTCTTTTTTTGGACCCCTAATGAATTTGCCATGTAGATAAAGTCCAGGACCTTCGTGTTTCCTGTCGCCTCTCGGCATGGCTATATATGGAACGTTGAGGATTCTTCTCAAGCTTCCGGAATTGATTTAAATATCTGGAAGGACTATCCAGAAACCAGAAAGCGGCGTTTTCATGTTTATCTCTTTTTTTGGACCCCTAATGAATTTGCCATGTAGATAAAGTCCAGGACCTTCGTGTTTCCTCTCGCCTCTCGGCATGGCTATATATGGAACGTTGAGGATTCTTCTCAAGCTTCCGGAATTGATTTAAATTCATGTCCAAAGTGGGGTATATGTTGATAGCATTTTATTTGCGATTATAAAGATGTGGAGTAACCCATGAATCTATTAGTTTTCAAATGATACGAAAATTCAGAAATCACTCCCTCTTAAAATAAAAATACTATATCCGTTTTAAAAAAATAATTCACATTGAATTTTCAAATTTGTACTAAAAATAATATAAAACTCAAAACTCAACGTGAACTATTTTTGTGGGACGGAAGGAGTACTTTATAAGTTGTTTTGATTATTCCGTAGTGGTTAAGACAGTTAAATGCATGTAATGAACCCGATAAATGCAGCTCTTTTCCTCACCTCACATATTAATATATTTTTAGAGCTTGATTAGTTTCCCAGACAAAAATGATGTCAATTCTACACTTACTTTTTAAAGTGCGAGTTCATTACGTCTTGAATTCTTGATACGTATTGTACATGCAAACACTTGAATTATCATCATCACCTATATTCACCTCCAAGAGATATTATGTATCCACCCTGTTAATTTCATTGAAACAATTAGCTCTCACACTCGGTTTAATTATTTTACCACGCATGTACCTCTTAATTTTGATCGTTGTACCCAGGGGCGGAACTCTTAAAGGGCTTGGGGTACCGAGCCCCTCCGACCGGCCGAAAAGCCCCGTAACGGTAGTCACGGTTAATCTTATGTCATATATATTCGACCATCGATCTTGATTATAAATATATAGTCAGCCCCTCCAAATCTGAGTAGCCGGTTCCGCCATTTGTACCTTTCCAGGCAACATCATTTAACACTGTGTTAAATCGAACAAAATTTTGAAGATATTTACAATTGTGTCTAGGGCTGGTCATTTGGACCTACGGTTCGGGTCGAACCGATGATCCGATCCGAACTGAACCGAAACTGATCCGAAATCTTAATTATGGTTCGGTTCGATTCGGATCAATTATTTAAAAGAGTGAAATGGTTCGGATTGGTTTGGGTTAAATGAATATCTAAATTGAACTTAATTAATCCAAACAAACAAATAATAATAATAATAATAATAATAATAAATTTCAAAAGTTTCGCTGTTGACCGCCACCGACCACCTTTGACCACCATTTCCGACCGCCGCCGGTAACAACTTCCGGTCAATATTCCGGCGCTGTCGCCGGGAAATTAATTTTTTCGGCCAAAAATTCCGGCGATATTGCCGGAAAATCGACCGGTGTCCAGCATCGGCAAAATGACATCATCATAATATTTTGATGACATCATTGGATGGTTCTTTTCGGGTTAATTCGGTTCAGACTCGAAATTTAACCCGAACCGATCCATAGTGATCCAAAAGAAAGTTGCTCCATTTCTGAACCGATCCAAACTAACGGTTCGGTTCGAGTTCAGGTCGGGTTCGGGTCCCGGTTTTTTTTTTTTTTTGTAAAAGAATAGCCCTAATTGTGTCTAACAATAATCAAGAACGTAACAGAAATATGTTATTTTAAAGAAATTGAAAAGTTCGGGTTAAGATAAGCAAGGCGTTAAGTGGAACGATCGGCAATGTAAAACCAGTTGGAAGCGAACATTTGTTTTGAAATTAAATGGGATTGAGTGTAGTAGTCTTTGCTTGCCAGTTTGTGCAATTGGTGATTTATGTACGGTTGTCGACAAAGGAAAATCGGAAGGAACTCATGAGATCATTGATCAACCAAAATACGGAAGGAAAGAAATCAGGAATACATGGACACCAGAAAATTCAACAAGTAATTAATCAGAAAATACAGTATATACAATCCATTTCAATATTGCTCACTCGTTTTGCACTTAACCTATCATATTTCATATACAGTAGTTGTGACAATCCACCTTCTCCTACCCTGCGGAGCACAATTTGTCACTATCTTACCTGAAATACCCAATCTCTCTCTTCCCATTTTAGGTGCCAGCAGCGCTCCAATTAATGTAAAATAGGTGCCAAAATAAAATGTAACATAGGTAACAGCCATAGTGGTGATTGACAAACTCATAGTTACTAAAAGTGGCATTAAGTACCTGCTAGGAATGCGGGAACCACGAATCAGCAGTGTGATTGCGAACATTCTTTACACTCTAAGCAAATTAGGGTTCATCTGATCGATTTAATAATCAAAACAAAAGGTGAAAAAAAAGGAAGACCAACATAATATAATTTTGTTAGTAAAATCAGCTAGCCAAAAGGCCCAAAACCAAACATCTCCGAATCACATAAAGACTTTTTCTTTTCTTTGTCTTTTTGGTCGATAAATAGCACGAAAAAAGAGACAGGGAATGCAGTCATTAATCTCTCTAACTACTCCATCTCTTTTGAATTTTTTGTACAAATACGAGGAGACATCATTGACATTTCTCCATTGCTGCTGGACGAAGTTGATGTTTTGAAAAATTTCCAGAATACTAGTAAAAATTATGGGGAGTTACGTTTTATTGTTTGACTGTAATTAACGCGGTGGGTAGAAAATGGTAAATGAAGGAAATATTCTAATGGCAGGAGGAGAAGTAGTTATATCATGTAATACTTTTTTCGCTCAAGATAAATAGTTCAACTTAATTTTTTTAGTTCAAAATAATAGATTTTTTTATTTGCCGAGAGAATACTTGTATTTTTATAATTTCATAATTTTAGAGGTTTGTGTATATATATAAACTAGGTGTTAGACCCGTCCGATGGACGGGGAAGGCATATACATTTAGACATTTTTACATAAATTTTGTATTTTTATAAATTATGTAATGACTTCAGTTTTAAACATGATTACCTCTGGATTTACAAGAATTTGTTTTTTTTTTAAATGACATTTTAAATTCACTGGTGATAAGGTTTATGCAGATCTCTCTAAAATTTGTTAGGTATGATTAGGCTATTTAATTATAAAATGGGACGAGTATAGTAATAATATTTAATTAGTAATTATGTGTGGATGGATGGATTGACGATGCACAGGTTTACAAGTTTTGTAGTATGGTGTAACCCCAACTATGTCGGACTGTGTTGAGGGATTATCATGGACGCCAGGGTGGAGGCTCAATTGTACAGGAATTTTTTTTTTTAAAATGACATTTTAAATTTTAGTTGCTTTTTTTTGTTTTATTATTTTATTTTGTGCATTTTTAAGTCTAAGAAATTAAGAAAATGCCACATATGATTAAATCCTATGTGGCATATGCTCCATGCCTTTAGTTTTCTCTCTCTGGTTTTTGCCTTAGTATAGTATATAGATAGATATATAGATATGAAACAACAATTCCTGCAAATTTTCGGTTTAATTTGTTACTGTTGAAGGTTGATAATAATGTTGAAGAAGCCGTGGGAAAAGCTTGCTTCTTATTGTTTATAACTGTGACTTTTTACATGCACAAACAACCAAATCAAGAACTCTTAACCATAGGTTGAGGGTTCGAATCTCATCATAAGCATTGAGCAACTTTAAATACTTTGGCCACTTGCCTCACCTATCGAGGTGTCTACAATTCAGCGAGGGGGATTAGTCACTGTTGTCGATGGTGGACACCGTGTAAATATATATATATATATATATATATATATATATATATATATCAAGAACTGAAGAACATCACAGTATTTACCCACCTAGTTAATTATTTGAGAAATGATACGGAACTCGAAAGTTTAGCTCGAAATCGCATCTCGACTGACCTGGCCGTCCTAGGTGTAATATCTAATCAATTTTTGTTTTAGTTTTCTTTTTTAATTAATTAAATAAATTCCTGAAAAAAAAACCCTTCAAATCCTATACCTTCCAGTGCAGCCCCGTCCCTCAACTCCTCTCCGCCAACGTCGCCGGTCTAAGATTCAAACTAGCTCGGTTTTCCGATCTTCATCAATTAGGCGAGGTTTTCTTCTTAATCAAATGAGTAAGACAATTCTATATTCTTCCTCGCTAGGATTTCACATATTCTTATATGAAACTTTCACGAGAAAAAATAGATTATGGTGCCATCTAGTTGAAGACTTCTATACCTATCTGGATGGTGGTTCTACCCAAATCATAATTATTTACTAGCAAAGGTTAGTTTCTGCTTGGTATTCATTCCACTTATGAACCATTTTTGTCAATTTTATTTCTGTTTTCCTATTTATGCTTTTAGTTGAATGGTATTGCTGCAATATTCATGTGTAAATTGCATCAATTTCTTAAGTTTCTTTATAGGGTCTCAATGTATCAGTGCAACTGCGAGTAACTTGGCAAGGGAAATGGATGAAAAATGGCAAAGGGTTTAGGCAGAACATCAATCAGACTTCGATCACCGTAGCGATGCTGTTAAAAAATAGATCAAGTAAATAGCATGATTGTACTATTGTTGATTAAAGGAAAGAAGACACACGATGGAACCAACCTCTTCTTTAAAATTGGATTTAACTCACTCTGTAATCGAGATTGTACACCCGTGCAACGTGATCATGTGATCACTAGGATTATGCCTCTTCACCATGACATTGCAAATGAAATTCGGAGGTAGTGGCAAAGCTGCAGAGATGAAGAAGGATGCTGCGAGATCAACTACATTGTGATAGACTAATAGGATGACAAGTAGGAGGCAGAGAGTTGGTAGCTCTTAAGCTGACCTTAGTTAATCCTTTAGACTCTAAAGAGATTTTAGATGCTTCATGTATACAAAGTACTTTTCTATATCTCTTTTCGATTAGGATATGTTTTTTTGAAGCTGTCTAATTTAGTTACTCCAATATAGACCTTATCACTTTAATGTGATGTGAAAGTAAATATTTTTGAAACAAAAGATAACAATAAGAAATACTTTGATTATGGATGTTGATTAAAGGAGATGTAATGTCTTTATCATTCTAGCTTTATTTAAGATTCTGATCATAAAAGTATGCTTACAAAATTTGAGACGGTCAAAAAAAAAAAAAAAGTCTCCTTCTTTAGAGGCGTCGAGAATACTTTTCTAAAATCACTTGAAAAGATGAATCTTGTGCACGTTGTGAAGATGAATCTTGGAATGACATTGCATTCGATAACAACTCTTGGAATGCTAATGTCTCCACCAATTCACCATGCTATAAAAAAGAATTATTATAATGTTAGCGTAAACACAGAGATATAATATCATATAAATTATCATCGTAATGACAAAACCAAATAAAGAAGCCATTGAAATAAAAAACTTGCCTGCAAACTATCTAGAAAACTTAAATCTTGCGCCGTCGAATCAACATTTTGCATAAAGGTGCTAGAACAAATCTACAATAGTAAAAGATATAGATTGTCACAAATGTACCAATAAAGTGTTTAAACATAATATGAACTTTTGAATACCATATCATCATTATTTTCCACCAAGCTTGTAGTTGGATCTTCAAACACGATCTCCCTAGCAGCCACCTATTTATTTTGTAAAAAAAGACATGTATTATTCAATTTACCAAAAACATATTTACACTTCCACAACTTGGAACAAATTAGTACAGACACTCACCGATTTCCCTTTCTTTTGAAGTTTAACATTTGATGCCATTTGTTCTTGGCTGCTACGAGGCGGAATCTGCGTTAAGTCATGCAAAAAGTAAAGATATGAAGTCTACGTCTTGAAAAGTGCACATAGGTTAGTGAACTACTATAAGAATTTACTAAGTACATGAAATTATTATTAATAAAAAAATATAACAAACCTTCTTTTGAGCTTTGGCCTGAACTTTTTTGACAAATTTTTCTACATTAGATTGTAGTCTTTTCCTGGGTCGACCTCGAGACTTTACTTTTAGTGGACTGGGAATCAATTTTGACTTAGCTCTTGGTGATTTATGTAGCTTTTCACGATGTTGAGTTCCTGTAGGATAATTGCTATCTTGTTTAACCTCCAAAGTATCAGAATCATCAGCCATAAATTGCTCTTTCACTTACTTCAGGAGTTCCACCAACTTATAACATCTCTCATCTTTTTTCATCGCAAGTTGTTGTACCTCTTGTATAACTGGAGAGACAATCTTAAACCGCAGCCTTTCTTCAGCACACTCAAAGTCATCATAAATGTTTGTGATATTTTGGTAACTGCGCTTAATATCTTTGCACCAACGATCCAAAATGTAATGCACAGGAACTTCAGTTACACTATTTTTTATCAACACAGCTATCACATGTCTACATAAGATTCTCTGAAACTCAAACAAACGGCACAAACACTTAACTTGAAATTGCAACTCTGTATAATGCACCAAAAATAAAAAACATCGCGAAGTGCTCCTTCTTTCCCGTATATGTCTCAGCAACTTCAAATATCAACGTCGTCCCTTCTTGCTTCACCAATGAGGCATTACAACATATTAGTCCTCTCAATTCTTTCTGGAACAATTTAAAGATTGAGTTTGTGTATACATTTTGAAATTGCCTTTCAATGGGACAATCAGTAATCATAGGAATGGTAGAATTGAAACATTCAAACTCAGAATCTCTTTCTTTTCTAATCTTTTTCTTCAAACAATTATCACATTGCTCAACAAATTGCTTCAGTGTTGTTTTTGAATTAATGTAACCATGAAAAAAAGCATTCATACTTTCACTTCTTTGAGATGTAGACATACCCTCCCAAAATGTATCTTTGACACACACTGGTATCCATCTACTACGTTCCATATACAAACTACTCAACCATTTATTACTCTCTAAATTAAATTCTATGATCATCTTTTGCCAGCTTTCTTCACATTCACAAATGGTCAGAGACTTATAATCAATATTTTTGAATTGTTTCTTAATCATCTTATACTGAGTATAACGACTCAATTTAACTGGAATTTTATTCATGATATGCCAAAGACAAAGACGATGATGAGAATCCGGGAATACCTCTTCGATTGCAATTCACATAGCTGCACACTGGTCTGTAATGATAGCCTTTGGAGTACGCCCACCCATACATTTTAACCATGACCTGAACAACCAAATGAATGAATCTTGATCCTCACCAAATATCATTCCACATCCAAGCAAGATAGATTGACCATGATGATTTAAAAACAAATGGAGCAAAAGGCATATTATAACAATTAGTCAGATATGTAGCATCAAACGTAATCACGTCAGCAAAGTAATCATATCATATGCAGCTCTACATCTACCATCTGACCAGAAAATATTTTGTATGCGACAATTTTCATCTAAAATCAATCAAATGAAAAAAATCAGAGTTCCGACTTTGCATGTTGCAAAAGTAATTACTCAATGCTTAGGCATCTCCAGTCCCCAGTCTCAACCTTCTGGCCTGAGACACATAGTTCCTACACTTTCTCTCATCAAATGACAAATTCTCATCACCACCATGTTCCACGACAAATGATTCAAAAGTCTTACAGACAGGTACCCCAACTTGATCATTTAACTCTAATCTTTTCTTTGCAGAAGAATCCAAAGCTTTATTGTTTTTGAAATGGCGTGACTTTCTAGGACTCAATGTATGATTATGCTCAAGGTAAACACGAGTAATCATAAAACTCCCATCAATTTGATGAACAAATTTTATCTTAGCTTTGCAATTTGTCTTTGTGACTGGACGGGGACGCAAGATATTTTTTCTTCGAGACACTGTAATACGACTTTTGGCACATCCAATTGAGAAATACTTCTGCTTGCCATCATCTCCATTTTTTCCTCCTAATTTGGATATGCCGAAACCAACACTTTGTGCGTAGATGTTGTAGAAATGGCGAATTTCTTCTTCAGAGGAAAAGGACATTCCAACTTTAGGCACTTTTACCTCTTTTGGATTTGAAGGATCTCCATCCATATTTTTCTCATCATGACATTCAATATTTTCACCTTGTTCCATATATGTCTATTTTTCCTGCAATAAAAGTGTAAAAGAATTATCATAAGGAACTGACAAACTAAAATTGAAAACAAAAGTATGGTTACGTAGAAAGTTATGGCGAACCATGCAAAAAGTATAGAAACAAAAAAACTTTGAAGTTCTATGCCGAACTAGTTGTAGATTTCAACACTTCTTTTTGTTTGTAACTCAACATATTTGTTCCGCTTTGTTGTCTAGCGAATGAAAATCACAAACCAGTCGTTAAAAGTTTTCTAAGAAAACAAGGTAGTCAATTGTATCCCACTAAAAGGCTACTTTCCTCTTTTCTTGTAGCCAGAGAAAAATACTGCCTAATTAATAGAAATTCTCAAAAGTTAAACAAAGCTTCACTTGAATCTAAAACTTCTACAATGAAAATAAAAATTTCCGATAAACATACTAAGAACTCAGATAAAGAGAACAAAAAATTGTTTAGGTAGATGACACCATAATCAACTTTTAATCATATGATCAGGGAAGAATAGAAAATTGTCTTACTCAATTGATTAAGAAGCAACCTTGCCCAATTGATGAAGATCGGAAAACCGAGCTAGTTTGAACCTTAGACCAGCGACGTTGGCGGAGAGGAGTTGAGGGACGGGGCTGCACCGGAAGGTTTAGGATTTGAAGGTTTTTTTTTTCAAGAATTTATTTAATTAATTAAAAAATAAAACTAAAATAAAAAACTGATTAGATATTACACCTATGACGCCCAAGTCAGTCGAAATGCGGTTTCGAGCTAAACTTTCGAGTTCCGTATGATTTCTCATTTTTCTATTTGCTCGTTTGACTAGTCAATTTTTGTTGGTTTTGTATTTTAAGACATCAAAAGGATAGTTTATGTTTGTTGCAATGAAAGAGGCAAAGCCTGAAAAAACTAATTTACAATATTTCTAAGGTAAGTAGACCTATAACATCATGTTGCATCCATAGTTTAACTCTTGTTCTCAATATGGAAAACGAAATTTGAATTGAATCATGATACTCGAAAACAGTGCACCGAAATGGACAAAGACAGACAAGATGACATTGTTAAGACCGAACCAGCTAGCTAAATGGTTTAGTTAACACATACACAGATTTCATTATCATTGTTCTGCTGTTGAGCTGATCTCGAACTCCCTCGCCTCCTTAGCTTTCGAAACATATAAACACGATGTCGTCGCGTGAGCCACCGATTGATCAATCGAATCGTGTTTCCCAACAGCATGAGGAACATCACGCCACACCAAACCGTGACAGAAGTCTTAATGACTTTGCTCAATGGCTTCTTATTATCTCTTGGCGTAACTATAACAATTGATATACCATAAGTTAAAGCAATGGCCGTAATTGTCACCCACATAATCACCATCAAAGCCCACAAAAAGGACCTGTTTCTCGACGGCAACCCGCTAATGAGTAACAGAATTGTGCTCAGATATGACACAAAGGCTATCGTATTAGTCCGGACGAAATATTTGTAGTAGGATGGATGTTTGTGTGCCATCACTGCTACCCCTGCCACGTGAGGATTTGGACCGTCTAACTTGTCGTCCTGCCACACCCCGCCAGCCGGATTGAGCCCAGCTTGAAAAGCCATGGTCGCGATCAGCGAGGCCACAACCATGATCGCATCCCTTCTCCGGGATAGCCATTTGCTGGTACTACTAGAGGATGACCATATCTCTTTCCCCCTTATTGCTCCAACATTGTTGAGAAGTAGTGCAATTTCTGGATTATTTTCTCCTTGTTGAAAAAGGTCTAATGGGGTGCTCCCATTTGCATTCTTTGTATTCACTTGTACAACGTTGTCTTGAAGCAAGTATCTGATGGTCGGCAAGTAGTAGAATATATATCATTTAGGTGAACAATTACATCAAATGAAAGGGAAAAGGCAATTTTTTATCATATACTACGTTACCTCAACTCTTTTTACAAAAAAACGTTACCTCAATTTGCTTGTCATAAATGGCAAGATGTAATATGGTCATCCCATCATCATGCTTCTGGTTAACAAAATCATCGTATCTTATTGTCTGAATCAAAACCCTCAGGGCCTCTATTTGATTATATTTCACGCACAAATGCAGCGCATTTCCTCCGCCATCGATCTTTTTGCGAGCTGCGATTGGCCTGGCATTGACTAGCTCTATCACAACAGGTAATTCGCCCTTGATGATTGCGGATGTAAAGGGAGTCTCCCGAATCGATCGCCAGCCAAACACAGATCAGGACTGATACTTATAATTTCTCTTACGAATTCCACACGACCAAACATTGCTGCAATATGAAGAGGGTTCATATCATGAGAATTTAACGTGACTCTATCAAGAATAAATTGATCTTGTTGGAGTAAATCAGAAAGAAGTTCAACATCGTTTTGAATGGCAGCTTCTGTAAGTTCTTCCATCTCTTTTTTTGCTTTATTTCTCTCTCCTTTACTACTTTCCCTGGCTACTAGCTCCTTGTCAAAATTAAAAACCAAACGTATTTGAGAACCAAAATAGTGCACTACTACTACTACTACTACTACTACGGGTTTTAAGCGCATAATTAATCAACGTTGACTTCAATTTGATTTAATTAAACTTGATTTTTTCTTGTGTAGTATATTTTTATTGGGGAAGGGAATAAAGAATTAGTTGAACTGTACAAATATCATTGTTTTTGTTTCAAGCCAGGATTAGTTG